AGAGGCGGGGAGGAAGCAACTTACCCTCCCTCTTCTCCTGCCTCCTCCTGGCTGAATGAGGGCCGGAAGTGGGGCGGCCGGAAGCGGGGGGCAGGGCTTCGTCGTGTGCCCTGCCCCCGCCCTCACCCGGGGGAATGACGATCCCCCACGATTCCCCCCGAATCAACCTTTGCCTGCCCCACTGGTGGACCTCCTGATGGCACCTGGTATTTTTGGCCACTGTATGACAGAGTGTTGGGCTGGATGGGCTATTGGCCTGATCCAACATTGGCTTCTCTACAGTTAAAGGACTATAATTTATTATTTTTTTATCCTTACACAGCCTGTTCTGTTTACATATGATATGTGCACTATTTTCTTATTAAACTTTGTTACATTATAAATTATCACTATGACCCATGTTAAAGTCCCTATTCAGTACACAAGTACCAAGAACAAAAGGGCAGGATTGCCATCTTCCAGGCAATCCTGCTATTACAACTGCTCTCCAGATGACAAAGATCAGTTCCCCTCGAGAAAATGGCTGCTTTGGAGGGTGGACTGTATGGCATTACACTCCACTGAGGTCCCTCCCTTCCCCAAACCCAACCTTCTCCAGGCTGCACCCCAAAATCTCCAGGTACTTCCGAACCCAGAGCTAGCAACCCTAGCAAAAGGGAAGGGGAGAGCAGTTAACCCTACTCCCATATAGAGTGTTCAACTAGGTATGTTGGTCCCTTCAGTAGCAAAGGCAGAGGAAGACAAAACAGAGAGTAAAGTCTTTAACAGCAAAGTGGCAGGTGACAACTGAAGTCAAGGCCTCAGGCGGAACATGACCTAATAACTGGGCAGAAATAGACAGAGACGGAGAGAATTAGGGAGCGGAGAAAGAGCAGTCATGCTGGGCAGGAAATCTGGGATGGCCGAGAATTTTCTCAAGTACACATAAGCAGAAACAAGTGATTGTGAGACCCATTTCTGAGTCTTGATAAATTATACGAATTTTCATCTCCATGCTTGGGCCTTGGCTGGGGACATATAATGGAGAAAACTGTTGCATTCATTCCTGCATGTAGGCTTTCTGAAGTATCTGGCTGGCTACTGTTGGAAACAAGAATGTTAAACTAGGTAATGTCTTGTTTTGATCCAGGAGGGTTCTTCTTGTGTGCTTATTGCATGGAAGTTGATAATAGAATATTAACTTCCAGCTGGGGAGTTGGGTGGTGGTAGAATGCTGTCTGGAACAGAACACAGGATGAGATACAAACTGCACAATTTATTTTTGGTAAATTCGGGCATTAATCTTATGAAACACTGAGAGAGAATGACCAGAAGGAGGAGAAACAGACACATGTAGAATCAGAGAAGGTGATGTACAAAGGAATGGAAACAATACTGCTTAATTATCTAATGGAACTGAGTTAACTAGATAGTTTTCCACACTGTATCCACTTTGCCTTTAGCAATACGTTAGTAAATAAAAGTTATCATCACTAACAAGATCTATTTTCTCTGAGCTACAGTAAGGAATCACAATACATAAATTTGTATTTTTCTTAGTAACTAACAAAAATCTGCTACAGAAGTAAAAAACAAAGACTCATCCAAACAAAACTGTATGTTGAGACTATTTTTAAGAAAGATGTAATAGAATTGCAAAGCATACTCCTAACAAACCATTTTGCAGTTTGAGCCACTGAAAGGGACTTCCATTAATTAAACATGTTTTCTATTGCTAGGGCACAAATCCTCTTGTCCCAAAAATCAGTTCTGTTTCTTTTATTAGAAACTGAGCTGTCAGCATCATTCAGCAATTTTGTTACTTCAAAAAATATGGATCCAGTATTCATGCCCATGTTGTAATCACTGACAACTACACTGATAACCCTAACTGGAGACACTACAATGATCAAAACACAGTTTAATACAGTAAGTCATCTGCTGTTTAAAAAGTAACTTTATTTTGGACTCCCACCAGGATAAAAATTACTCTATATGAATGAAGGTGAAATTAGTTTTAGAGCCTTGCATGATCTCATCTGCAAACCACTTGTTACAAATCCCTGATTCTATATAATTCAGATCTGTTGACAAAAATCAGATACAGCTAAGATTTCCTTCACACAGTTTTCTTACTTAATTTGTTTCACATAAGTAGTATCCTTTCACGTATTCCAGAAGTTCAGAAGATAGAAGGGATACAAAACACCACACTGTGTATGTCAAAATCTCATACTATGACACAATAGTTCATGTATCTGCACTGGACAATGGAATTTGCTTTAGTAAAGTTATGCTTGGTATGAGGATTCCAGGATGCCTGCACACACAAAAAGAGCACTTCATGATATATTTTCAGTTTAATACTACTTACCGCTTCCATAAAGGACTTGAAATGTTCAAAGGGCTTCAAATACGTACTTTTTAAGAAATCATGGCGCACACAAAGGGCCATATGGGACATAACAGCCACAATACCATGGGTTTACATCTGTAACTGCCTCACTCACATTGGACCTGACTCTATTTTTTTAAAGGTCATAAAAGTAACACATAATCTCCCTTATGCCCATCAATTAGCTCCCTATATTCCATTCCCAGGCATTTTTCATCCTGTTACTATGTTACCTCAATGAAGCAGGAAAGCAAATGGAGAAATTCTGGAGAGGCAAGCCATTAGTGGATAAGACTTCTGTACTTCTCATCCACATACCATTTTGCTATTAAAAATTAAAACCTCCCTAGTCCCCAGCCCTTCTTTCTATGTGATTGGGTCAGTTCCATGTATAAACACATGGCATTACTGCTGTCACATCTATTCTGACTCTCTAGGACCCTACAGGCTGATATTTTAATTATCAGGAGATGGCGAGAAAAGTTGCTTGCCTAAGGTGTTGGCTGTGATATCTGCAGTGGACTTTCTGGCTTGCACTCTCTCATGGTACTCTGAATATTTTGCACTACATTAATGTAAGAAGCAAACAAGACACAACCATTCCAAAATAAAGTAACTAAACACACTGTCAAGCATTAACAAGCAAACAGTTTTGTAGTGCAATGGAACCTCCATATTCAGAGATACTAAGCCTCTAAATCCCAGAACCAGGAGGCAACATCAGGGGAAGGCCTCGGCC